GTCACATTATAATACCCCCACGGCTAAAAGGGCGAGCATGTTTGGTGGGACGGGGATTTGAACCTGCGACCCGCAGATTGCGAGTCGAGCGCCCTAACCACCTGGCCATGCTGGGCCAGTTTTGAGATAACCCCATGTCTGGTGTTTTCCTTTTCTACCATGTAGGGCCTTGGGTGCATTATAAGAGTGACAGTCAAAACCAACTATCTGATTAGGGTAGCTCAAGAGATGGCATTGGAAGCTGTTGGCTAGCTGCCTTACTTTTAGTCTGCCAAGTTCAAAATTAGGGGCCCCCAGTGGCACAGCGGTATGTCTGCGGACTTAGAACGCTAGAAATCGGGTTTCGATACCCGTGGTGGGCAGAGCACAGATAGCCCATGGTGTAGCTTTATGCTTAATTCCAAACAAACAAACAAACAAAATTAGAGGCGGCTTATGCAGATAGCCTTAGCGTAGTTTCGCGCGAATATCCGAATAAACATAATAGTACTGTCTGTTGTATGTTCATGTAACTACTTTGGAGGGTGTGGATGGATCTTCACCAAAATTGGTATGGAGGGCCATTAGGGCCATTTCCCGTTTTGCGGTTTTTATGAGGGTTTTTCTACCACTACTTCGTCCCCTGTTGATTGACCTTCACCAAATTTGGCATAAAATTTTGATGGGTAATGCAGAGATACATGCAGACTTGCGGACTCCCGTTTTGTGTTGTTTTTTTTTACAATTACATACAGTACTGTGCAAAAGTGTTAGGACAAAGTCAAAAATTAGATTTCGGGCGACTTTCAAAGAACAATGGAAGGTAAATCACAGGTGAAACATCAAAATTTTATTAATCTTCGTATTTAGTACAACAGAAACTCAGTGGAAGTGCTTGAGTTGAGCGAACAGTTAATATTTTGTGTGTCCCCCTTTTGCTATGATAACTGCAGACAGTCTTTCAGTCATTGTTGAAACATATTTAATCAAAGTGTCTTTTGGGATTTTACTCCAAATGTCTCTAATACACTCCCATAAAGTTTCTTTGGAAGTAACCTTTGATTTGTCAAGTTTTGATCTATCAGATCTGCTCAATTGGGTTGAGATTAGGGCTCTGTGGGGTCATTACATCATTTGAATGACTCCATCAGCTTCTAAGTAATTTCTGCATAGGTTTGATGAGTGTTTGGGGTTATTATCTTCTTGGTAGTTGAATCGTTTACCAATAAATCGTAAACCACTGGGTATACTTTGACAGATTAGTATCTGAAGGTACGGGCGCTGGTTCATCATTCCATCTATTTTGCAAATATCTCCTGTCGCCTCAGTAGAAAAACGCCCCCAAACCATCACACTGCTTTCCCCATGCTCCATGGTAGGTGCTATGCATTGAGGTAAGTATCTTTCACCTTTCTTCCACCGGACGTACAACCTATGCTTTGAGACACATATTTCAAATTTGGACTCATCCATCCATAACACCCTTTTCCAATCATCAACAGTCCAGTTTTTGTACTCTTTTTTTAGAAAATTTCATACTCTTGACAATATTTAGAGATCGAAGTTCTGTCTCTTTCTTTCCTTTTTTAAAATTTACCTGTCTTCGTCTCACGATCTACGGTGCACTTGACAGTGTTTGGGGAGCATTTCAAGTCTGCAGCAATTTGTCGAAGAGTCCAGCCAGCATCACGTAAAGCTTTTATGCGAACTCTCTGCTCTACTGACAACTCGCTAGACTTTTTTTGGGCCGTGGCATGACAACAAAACTTAATATATAGTGTTAAACACTGTTTTTATCAAGATTTATGTGTGGAGTGCTATTAAATTGATTTCTTTCAGCATATACCGGTACCATATGCTAGCTCCTTGCTAGCTTCTTTCTATATAGTTAAGACACTGCATGGGGTACCATGACAGTTATTTCAGACCCTAAATTTGTTCAATATGTTCATTCAGGCAGAATCCTTATGACATACCCTTGGTACAAGTATATGGGAATTATAATATAATATTCTCACCCTGGCTCATTCAATTGTCAACAGGGATCAGTGAAGCATTACCATAGTTTTGAAATCTACATTCTGAATGAGCCCCATAAAATGGAAAGAATGATAAAATATTCTCTTGTCCTTACATTTTGCACAGTACTGTATAATGCGCTCGACTCGCAATCTGAGGGTCGCGGGTTCGAATCCCCGTCACACCAAACATGCTCGCCATTTCAGCCGTGGGGGCGTTATAATGTGACGATCAATCCCACTATTCGTTGATAAAAGTGTAGCCCAAGAGTTGGCGGTGGGTGATGATGACTAACTGCCTTCCCTCTATTATTACACTGCTAAATTAGGGACGGCTAGCGCAGATAGCCCTCGTGTAGGTTTGCACGAAATTCAAAACAAACAAACAAACAAACTGTCCAGGGGACGGGTACTCCAGCTAGTAAACAATATTTTAAATTTTGTATGACTTAAAAAGCGTATTTAAGCTAGAAGTCGTGTGACGTTTGTTCGAAAAATATAGAGTACTACAAGTACTTTAGCTTAACAATGAAAGAAATAGTCAGTTGGCATCTTTCCCAAAACGTATGTAAACCCTTTAGCTGTTTGATGGCACAACTTTGTTCAATAGAAGTCGGGGAAAAAGCTTTTCTAAACACTAATCTCAAGATTGTTTCTCATGCAGGTAGAACAAAACTGAAACCGAACTGGAAACTATTTGATTTTAATGAATAAACTTCTATTTATTTATTTTTACTAAAAGCATTTAGATAAAAAACAACACATTTTATTATTAAAGTCACTTTAAACCATTGTAAAAAAAAACTGCTTTCAGAAACAACACATCTTTTATCAAAGCAATTAAAAAACAACATTCATTTGAAATTTCTTATTCACTATTTTATGATTACCTTCCAGTTTAATGATGCGTCTTTCCGTTCCTTTGCCTTTGACTTTAGTTTACTCTTAATTACCATAACCGCTCGTTGTTCTTCCTCAGGGTCGTCACTACTAGAGGGCGCTGCTAGTTTAATGGAATAGCTTTGCATGTATGCTTGGGCTTTTTTCTGACTCACAGCTTTCTCTAGGGCTACAACGATCTTTGCCCACTGTATAAAAGGGTAGATAGGATATTTTTATTAACTTTGAATTACAAAGTTTCCAAATAAAACAATGCTTCTTAACTAAACATTTCTTGTAATTCTCTCGTAGACTACAGAAATCAACTTGAAAAGAATAAGAAGTAAAACGATGCTAAAAAGACAAACTGTAAATCTTGGTAAGACAATAGTAACCGAACCAGCACGGTTTTTCGGTGACGATTTTGATGCGTTTTATTTTAGGCTTTCAAACTTTATAATAAAAAACAGAACTCGTAACAGGTACAATACGTTTTCCTACAACACCAAAATATACTGACTACATTTAGTATAGCAAATGTGTCCCTTAAAAACCTTCAAGTCTTCAACCTAAAAAAAAAAAATACTGACTGTTACAAGATTCCTACAATAATGAAAGAAGAATATATTTTTCAAGGAAAGTACGAGAAAGTACGAATAAAATAAACATCTACAGGGCGTCTCCAGGAATTAGGAATTTCATCGGGGGGGGGGGTCTTTTATATTTATTATACTGTACATTTTTCTGAGATATGTGTAAGCACGTGTACTGAAGTATATATGTATATATATATATATTACCGTAGGAAGCAATTTTTGAGTGGTCAGACCACTGCCACAGCTAAACAATGCTAAGTACACTACCGGTATTCAAAACATGCCATTTCTAGGAGGGTCAGGGGGCATGCTCCCCAAACATTTTTGAAAAGTTAATGCTATGAGATTGAATCTTGAGTCGTTGTGACTGAAAATGCTGCATACACACAACGTAACGTACTGAATTAAAAGAAGCAAGTTTTAATACATAGGTTGTAGCTATACATGACACGAGAAAGTGGTCAGGCAATGGCCTGACTGGCTTTACCGTTTCCTATGGTCCTGATATATATATATATTTATATAACACTGCATATGTTATAACGATGATCAAGTCATTTTGAAATACATATTTATACAAGTTTTAAAAATACAGTATTTAATTTCTTATAACACTAAAATGTTGTATTTAATTAGACGCTCAACGTTTCACTTTGCAGCTTCTTCTGGAGCGTTCACTAAAAAATCAACCAAACTGACACAACTTAGCTTTAAAAACCATTTGTAGCTTTGTACTGTCAGTTTCGGTTTGTATTTTAGTGAACGCTGAAGATGCTGTAAAGCGAAACGTTGAGTGTCTAATTAAATAAAAACAACACTTTGGTGTTGTAAGGTCGTTTATTTCTAGTATTAATAACTTTTAGAAATAAACCGGGTGATATCTACTCATTAATTAATTGGAGTTTGTCTGTAATCGTAAGTATGTAAATCTTATTTTAACAGCTAGTTTACCTTATTTATATAATCTATAAATACTGTCATTTGAATTATTCAGTTTAACTACTGTATCGAACTAGCTTGGAATCTGTAGGTTTGAACAAACAGTTAAAGCCTTCTGAAGCTTGTTTAAACTTCTCCCAGTGTGAATTAAAATATGAAGGACTTATTCTGGCCACAACGTGATTTTACAATAACTGTATGGCGTTTGCCTCATCACTGTGGTTCATAACGATATGGTTCTCGCATTGGCATAAATATGTCCCCGCAATTGCGGGGGCTCGAACCAAAAGGATCCCGAATCAGTTAGAATCGTAACAACAATTATAGGTAAATAAATATAGGGGGCCCAATTACTTTTTATACGGAGGGGACTATTTTTTTCTAGTTACTTCACTGGGTACTTGCCTGTTCACGTTATACACAGAAACGGGACAGCTGGTCGTTCAGTAATTCGAATACATGAACAGAGGCGTAGATTTGTGTTACGCACGAGGAATAGATGGATCCGGTTAACTTTCCCCGGAAAAGTTGTGAAATTTAAACCTGAAATGGCTCATTCTCATGACCTATGTTACGTGTACAACCTATATATGATTAATCATACAGGCAACGTAAAATATTGCTAAAACTCACATTTCGATCACTGTAACTTTTTTCTAAATTTTCTCGGGATAAAACAATTAGCGTTGACAACTCAAATAATTATAACGCAGAGGTTTGTTCATTAATCGATTTTTTTAAATAAAAGATAAACTGGCATAGAATGATCAAATTTAATATATTAATGTATATATATATATACATTTATAAGGGGAAGTTACTTACAGGATTCAGCGTGCATACTGCCGTGATTTCGTTAGGCTTAACCAAGTTTGTAACGTAGAAGACTTTACAACTTATGTTCAAGATTTTGTATTAAAAATTTAATATGTATCATGAATTTTCAACGTCCGTGCGTATGCCCAGCTACGCCCCTGGTTATGGTTGTGCCAAGGATGTTGGTTTCGCTATTATTGTTAAACTTCAATTTGATATTTAGATATGGCGTTTCGTGAAATTAATGTTTATTTGGAGTTCAATAGGGTGTTCGTTCGAATGTCCCTATTCTGCTATACGTAGACATGACCTTTGGGAGTTTTTTTGAAGATGAATTTAGATAATGTAAACAATATGTGGACTGTAGATAACAGATTTTCGTGCGTAGATCTGATCTTGAGAGGAAATTTCTTGTTCTATACTGCTTTACTAGATCTATGGAAAGACTCGGCCCGAAACAATAAGCCAATACCACGTCAACCTATGGAAGTCCATACAACACAATGTACACTGCATTTGGGAGTAATAAAAGTCCCAATCCTTCTATTTTAAAACTAAATCTGACTCATAACGTACAATTTAACCTAGCATCTTTCTTGACATTAATCCATTGATAGTTTCGGTTTTGTTTATGAATGTCTACTCACCTGCTTTACGAATTCTCTTTCCGACTGTGTGATGACATCGCAATATGTGTTTCCCATCATGGCAATAAGAATGTTGATCATCAAGATGGGCATAATGACCACGAAGACAGCAAAAGTAAACCATGTTAACACATAGTAAAGCGTTTCACTGAAACTTCGGCACTGAATAAAAAAACAAACAACGCACCATGTTATGAATTACTCAGTTCGTAATGTTAGGATTTTCCATAATGACCAAGAACTTAGAACCACTATAAAAAGATCACAAAATTTTAGAATATTTATTTTTTGATAAAAAAAATGCATCCTATCGTTTAGTATATTGCCATAGTCGTGTGTTTTAATGTAGAAGCTTAAATGGAAAGTTATTATTCGATGTCTGGTTTATTTAATCGAAAATGCATTAAACGAAAACGTTAGAATGTGTGTACTAAGAATATCAACAAACTTTGAATTACAAATGGTTTTGAAAGTATTTTTTATGGTTGAGTTATAGTAATGATGTTTTTGTAATTTATAGAATTTCTTTGTCGTGGTGCCCAGAAAGTTGAAAAAGTTTATTGATATCCTTAGTATACACGTTCTAACGTTTTCATTGTGAAACTTTTCACATTATTTTTCCACAAGAGATTATACTTTAAAACATATAATATAATTAGCATGTCTATCTAAATATCTGAAAATATTATTCGACTGCCTTTTCGAAAACTTGCAGAGGCAACGAGACAGAATAATAACTTTTAGAGTAAAAGTCAGACCCGACGCCAGAGGGAGTGCCGGGTGGGCTAAGCCCCTCCAATAATTCTTGACTCCATTTGACATTTGTGGTCTTAATGATATTTTTTTTTATATAAAAGAATGAATAATGAAAGTATCTTATCCGTTGTGTTACAATAGAAATATGTGATATGAAAACTAGAACGAAACGTGTAGAAGCACAAAATTAACATTTTTGCTTGTTTATGTGGCTTTTTCATTCGTATCAACTTTTAAAAAATCTTTGTTCTTTATATTAGTTCAATTCAAAATACAAATACAGTTATAATCACTGTAAGTCTGACCCCATATTCATTGTTCCCCACCTGAGGGAAGCTGGGGCCAGATATGGGTTAAGCTTTGACAAAGAACGTACCTCGTAAAACCCCAGAGTCATGTGAAAGAGGGTCATCCAAGTTCCTGAGAAGGTCTGGAATCGAGAAGTTTTCCCCGTGTGATTTTTAAACAGGAAATAAAACGCTGCAATAAATTTTTTTTAACGTTAAGAAAATTTTGTGTTATTAGTTGAATGATGAAAACATGTAACAGAATTTACGTAACAGCATTTTTAAATGAATCAGAAATCATCCTACGTCACTGGGTTTGCAAAGTCCTTCATTAGGAAGAAATATTTCACCATGACAGATGATTGAAATTGGTTTTCTAAACATCAATCTTTAACCCCCTTTCGTCAATATCGATAATTTTGAACTGACGTTAATTTATCATTATCAATAAATTTTCTATGAAAGTTTAATTGACTTGTTCGTGTGTTTATTTTTTTTTTTAACAAAGCCACATAGGGTTATCTATCTGCTGAGTCGGCCATGTTGTAAGGCCGTAGACTTACCGCTGTTCTGCCGGAAGGCTTTACTTGACAGTAGTTTTAAAAGCGGACAGCCAAGTATAATTAATAATACAAAACTGTATTTACATTTTTTTTTTTTAGTTTTGAAGGAAAACATGGTTAATTAAAAAAAGGATATCATTATAAAAGTCGCAAACAAATTTAATCTTGTGTTTGTTTGTTTATTTGTAATTATGCACAAAGCTACACAATGGGCTATCTGTACTCTGCCCACCACTGGTATCGAAACCCGGATTCTAGCGTTGTAAGTCAGTAGACATACCGCTGTGCCACTGGGGGACAAATTTAATCTTTTGTTTGTTTATTTGTAATTAAGCACAAAGCTACACAATGGGCTATCTGTACTCTGCCCACCACGGGTATCGAAACCCGGATTCTAGCGTTGTAAGTCCGCAGACATACCGCTGTTCCACTGGGGGACAAATTTAATCTTCAAAATGATTTTAATTGTATACACTCTGTGTCCACCAAGTACATTATACTTTAGAAACGTGTATTACATGATATCCAAGCAGGTGTGTTAATACTTTAAGAATATGCAAAACTAGGGTTACCAGACGTCACAGTTTTTAGCCTTATTTTTTCTGTCCCGATACAGAAAGAGTAAAACTTTTAAAATGTCCCGGTTTCTCTATACCTCAGTGTAAGTTTTATACGTATACTTTGTCATTATATATACACTGTTTCTGTTTTACTTGGAGTTTGTTTGTTTGTTCGTTTTTAAATTTCGCGCAAAGCTATACGAGGGCTATCTGCGCTAGCCGTCCCTAATTTAGCAGTGTAAGACTAGAGGGTGGGCAGCTAGTCATCACCATCCATCGCCAACTCTTGGGCTACTCTTTTACCAACGAATAGTGGGATTGACCATCACATTATAATGCCCCAACGGCTGAAAGGGCAAGCATGTTTGGTGGGACGGGGATTCGAGCCCGCGACCCGTAGATTGCGAGTCGAGCCCCCTAACAACATGGGCATGCCGGGCCGCGAATCAGCAGTCAGTGGGTTAATTGCATACTTTAATTAAACAATAGCATCTGAAAATCCATTATCGTTTTCAGTATATGATTTATATGTATGTTTAGTAATATGAATCTTGGTTGTTAATTATAATTGCTTATTCGTGATTAAAATAAACGTTTCGTTTTTAATAGATAAGCTCGTTTGTAAGAAATATTGTGCGCTGTGAAAAATTACTGATTTATTATGTTAGTGTCAGGGGTGGGGGGAAACGTCTGAGAATAAACAGATTTGAACCTAACCACATTATTATCTAAATAAACGTTTTCCTATGAGCCTTAAATATATTGCAGTAGCTTAATGAGCTACATGTTAGGCACTCAATCGCTGTATCTCATTTAATTTATTGGTCTCCCTTCAATTTTATACCCCCCACCCCCGTGTGGAAAACATGGCTATGCCATTGAAAGCTTTGTACGAACTATTTGCGCATTGTCATCCCTAATATTTTGAACTAACAGACTATGGGGAAGGCAACTGGTCGAAAGCACCCACCGACAACTTTTGAGCTACTCTTGTCTTATCAAATAATACTAGGATTTGATCACATACACTGCCTCAAATTACGGCAACCGGCCTCGAACCTTAATATCCTGGGATTCACAGTTTAAACGCGCTAACACTCGATCATGCCTGACCACTAATATTAATATTATAACAAAGTTTAGAAAAAAAAACGATTTTTATACTCCAGATATATTTAAAAGATTTTTTTTTAATTAGCATTTCGCCTTCATCAGGGTTAATATATACAATTGTTTGATATTTGAATATTTGTTAAATTATAAAACTACTTGTAATGTTTTATTTCTCGAGTCTGCCGTAACGTGCGTCTAACAATGTATAGATTATAATTATTGTTTCACTATTGTTCTAATATTTTAGTAGAGTTACGATACTTACTATACAGCTATACTAACATATGATATATATATATTACCTTTATATGAGATATAAAAATAAAGTTTGTTTTTAATTATGCACAAAGCTACACAAGGGCTATCTATGCTCTGCCCACCACGGGTATCGAAACCCAGTTTCTAGCGTTGTAAGTCCGCAGACATACCGCTGGGGGGGCTAAAAATAAAGAGAACTAAAATATGATACAAGACTCGGATGGATTACTTAGATTACCTCAGCTTCTTGCTGAAATTTCCATGTGCTCATTGTGCACGTATTTGTAGGTGACCTGTAGCTCACAATACAGGTAGCTTTACAGCTACCACAAGTGTATTTATATGTGATCCAATAGGAATGGGTAGAATGTCTTTGGTTTTAAACATATTTTTAAATTCTAAATGTTGACGTAACTACTAAACGTAGCTTAATTTGTGAGTAATATATTTGATCATTTTTGGAATTTGATATTTGAGTTTAAAACTTTGTTTGCCCATGAAAGTAATGATAAGAACCAGTGGATATTTTGAGACAGTGTGTGACTTTTTGGTAGGTTCTATTTGCTTTATTAAAAATTTTCGTGTGATAGGGTGTAAGAAATTAAGGGGACAACCATGAATTTGTAATATGTCATGAATTTTTGAAATTTCTGAGCGAAGACAATAGTAGTCATGACAGGTATTATACACTGTATTTAGAAGATTTAAAACAAGGTTATGTTTGAAGGAGTCTGGTATTAAACTGTAGAAACGAAAGTATAAGCCAATAAATGTCTTTTTTTTTACGGTTAATAGATGTGGCAAAGAGATTGTTTATTTTGTTTACTGGATCTAAAAAAGCTAAGTTATTTTTTTTCTTCCAACTTACATGTAAAGTTTATACACAGATGTTGTGAGTTTAGATATTCTAGAAACTTCTTTGCATGATTAGTGTTGTGAAAGAGTAGAAAAATATCGTCAACTTTCTGTATAATACTCTTTTGTAACAAAGGGGGAAATTATCCAGCCATTGACGTTCGTAATTACATAGAAAAATATTTGTAAAGGTCGGACCTAGTAATTGTCCTCCAGGGCCAATTTAAGAAGCTCTTCGAATTTTTTGTTGGTTAAAGTTAGAGTGGCAGGGAATAACTGTTTACTAATTATTTTAATTGTTTCCTCAAGTGAGGTGTTAGTGAATAGGGACTGAATATCAAAGCTGGCCATGACGAATTCTACTCTTTCACTGGTTGTGATTGTGTTGTTTATGAAAGGAATGTTCATTGTGGGCGTTTTCGTGTGTGTGTTTTTTGGTGTGTTGCAGTTGTTATGTTTTTTTTTGTGATTTGAAAATATTGTCGATGTAATATTCGGGGTATCCGTTTCGTAATAGCAGTGATTTAAAGTAATTTTTTGTGCTGTTTGAATGGCATTCAGCATGTAGCAGTTTCGATATATTCTCCTTAATTCTCCTATTATTGTTTTCCTTCTGACTTTGTAATGGAAAAATATTGGCTTCCTGCATTCTTTGTTATGCACGGAGTTCCGTCTTAAGGTCTTAAAGGCAAATTATATATATATATTAGATATAAAAATAAAGAGAACTGCAATATGATACAAGACTCGGATGGATTACTTAGATTACCTCAGCTTCTTGCTGAAATTCCCATGACTGTGGGAGGGTTTTAATTCTGTTAGTAATTTTTTTCGGCAAAGCACCTTTTTCTTTGAGATGTTTAAGTATCGTTTTGGCTTCTTCTTCGACCGTCTTGGTTGGATTTTTGCTTAATGTAGCATAGGTGGGTATGCCTTGAAGGTATTCCTCTATTTTACCTTGGTAACTGTTTTTGGTTAGGACTACAAAACCTTTCCCTTTGTCTGATTCTTTTATGATCAGATTGTCGTTTGTTCGCAGCTATTTTATAGCTGCTTTTCCTGCTGGTGATATGTTATCTTGATGATTTTCATGTGTTGTTAGGATATTTTTTATCTAGTGCAGCAGGAAGAAGATATTTTGTTCTGTGGTTGTTGGTGTTTTTGGCGGTTGATACTTTTGTGAGTCAAATGGATGATTGCTAATTGATAGATGATTCTGATTATCTTCTTGATGATTTCTATCTCCTATTTCACTCGTGTCTTCTATAGTTTTCTGAGATGTTTGTTATATCTTTAGTGTCATTATGTTCTTTCCAGCGGACACTATATATATATATATATAGCGATTTCAAGTTATGTTAAAATGTCTAGATGGGTGTTGTCTGTAAGTTTTCACCTTAAAGCAAAGTTTGGACCTTTTGCCAGAAGTGACATAGCGTTGGGTTGAAGGTTTATATGGTTTTTCTGTTGTCACTGTTTCTTGGAATATTTCTGTCGTAATTGTCCAACAGTTCTTTTACTTTTATGTGCTAGTAGAATTGATAGCTTACGTTTATGACGTGTTTCATAAGTATTCATTTCCTCTACTGACGCTATTACTTTCAGTTTAACACTTGCGTGCTCTGGGGGTATCACACATTCTTACAATTTATTTTTAACACTGTTGGTAAACTTTGTATCCTATTATTGTTTCTTAGCAGCTTCTAGTCTATGTGTTTTTTTTAGCTAATGATAAAACATATTGTAGTTCTCTATAGTTTTATATCTCATATAAAAGTAATATATGTCATATGTTAGTATTATAACTCTAATATTAGAACAATCTTAAAACAATAATTATAATCTATACATTGTTAGACGCGCGTTACGGCAGACTCGAGAAATAGAACATTACAAGTAGTTTTATAATTTAACAAATATTCTAGTGTCAAACAGTTGTGTATATTAACCTTGATGAAGCCGCAAAGGCGAAACGTTGAATAAAATAAAATATATTTTAAATATATCTGGAGTATAAAGGTCGGTTTTTTCTAAACACTTTATCTAAATGTATAAATCACTCCAGTATGCATTGCAAATTTTGAAAGATTGTTTTGTTTTTGAATTTCGCGCAAAGCTACACGAGGGCTATCTGCGCTAGCCGTCCCTAATTTAGCAGTGTAAGACTAGAGGGAAGGCAGCTAGTCATCACCACCCACTGCCAACTCTTGGGCTACTCTTTTACCAACGACCGTCACATTATAACGCCCCCACGGCTGAAAGGACGAGCATGTTTGGTGTGACAGGGATTCGAACCCGCGACCCTCAGATTGTGAATCGAGTGCCTTAACCACCTGGCCATGCCGGGCCTATTTTGAAAGAAAACAAAAAATGAATATTCTACGTTATTTAGTTCAGAAACTTTTCTGAGCTTACTCTCCAACTAACATTGTTTAAACCAGGTCGGTAATTTCGACCAGCATCAGGTTCAATACGTTTAGTAGGGCCTTTGGTACAAAATAGAATAATGCATAAACACATATGGCACAAAATGTAAAAAGATGTTAAAGAAAAAGTTACAAAAAAGGTATTAATTTTTTTAATGGTTTTGTACACTTTTTAATAGATTCAACTGTTATTTTTCTATTACGTGCATGGTTGCATTGTGCTAACAACAATATCTCAACCACAAAACTATCAGTAAAGCTAGGTACTACTCTGCGCATGACCAGTTTCCTTAAGTTGTAATTCACTTTCATTTCCCGCCCCGGTTTGGAAGAGCGCCAAATAAAGGTACTCATACTGTTAATCTTAGCGCACTCATTCACCATGCTCCTCCTGTGGATCAGTGGGAAGTTTACTGGTACAGAACGCTAAAATCCGGGATTCAACACCCCTAGCAAAGAAGTGCATGATATAACTTGTTTAAAAAATATCAATATCAATTGATCATAATCTTTTATCCCGTATTGGGAGAGTGGTAAGTTTACGGACTTATAACGCTAAAATTCAGAGTTCGATTCCCCGTGGTGGACACAGAAGATAGCCTAATGTGGGTTTACTCTAAAAAAAACAAAAAACAACCATGATTTTCAGCCACCTAGTGGTGCTACCTATATAAATATCAAGGCGTTGAAAGCAACAGTACTGCAAATGTCTATGTCTTTTATAATATAAGAACGTTCGTTGTATGACATACCTTGTGTAAACCCCAACAGGAAAATAAAGTAAATTATACTAAATCTGACGATGTCTCCAACTAGCATATTGTAGATCATGGTTACAAAAGGACCCGTCAACTTTACGGCCCTAGAGAAAGATATTTAAACAGAAAGTTCTGATAATCAGAGACTAGAACCAGTTATATTTCTACTATCATAAACAGAAAGTTCTGATAATCAGAGACTAGAACCAGTTATATTTCTACTATCATAAACAGAAAGTTCTGATAATCAGAGACTAGAACCAGTTATATTTCTACTATCATAAACAGAAAGTTCTGATAATCAGAGACTAGAACCAGTTATATTTCTACTATCATAAACAGAAAGTTCTGATAATCAGAGACTAGAACCAGTTATATTTCTACTATCAGAGCGATTTTGGTAGTTAAGTTACATTTGATTTAAAAGAAAAACTTCTAGAAATAAATACTAGTACCAAGAGGGAAATAACGAGCTCATATATAAACGATAAAAGCTATAAGTGTTGCCTTAAAATGCTCTATAGAAAGGACAGACTTAAAATTCTTTTTAATTATTCTTATGTTATTTCAATATTCCTTTCAGAATTCAGTATATTTTTTAAATAACAGAAAATGCTGGTCAACAGTTTCAATAGTAATGAAATATAATATTTTGTTTGAAAATTAATTTCAAAGTTACAGTATTGCTGCACAAAATAGAATTCAGTTGTGTGTTGGAATATGATAGATTATCTTGGTTCTGAAGTTTTATGTTAGTACAGGATACAAATACATATACCAATTGTAAATAAGGAACGTAATTGTTACATTGAGGGCCACAAAAGCAAAAATTTGAGGTTGAATTTCAAATTTACAAATTAATTTATTCAGTAAAATTTGCGTACACAAGTAATGGGAATGAAACTGAAAACTAAATTTATTAACTAATTATAAGTGAAACGAACCTGAGCGGGAGAAGATCTTAGGAAGAGTTCTTATTTGCTCAACGTTTCGGCTGTACCCCTTCATCAGGAGCTTATATTATAATTAGCCCTCTATCACTCTAGTCAGGAACCTTTGTATCATAAAAATTAAACCATATAAGGCTGTGAAATGTGGTTTCTTTTATGAATACAAAGGTTCTTAATTTGAGTGATAGAGGGCTCTGTAAAAAAGATAAACTCCTGATAAAGGCGGTAAAGCCGAAACGTTGAGCGAATAAAAACTCTTCTTAAGATCCTCTGTTGTTCAGGTTCGTTTCATTTATTCGTGATTATGTGCAATATACTTCAGTCAGCATTATGTAATTGAAAAAAAAAAAAAGAAGTTTGTAAACGTTTCAAAGACAAGTTTATCACAAGGTATGATATAACGGTAACTATGATAAGCAAAGCAACGCATATTTTTACAGGTTGATAACATACGTCTCTGCATTATGAGTAAATTTTGACATTATTCAAGGCCCACTATTTAGAAAATCGTCTGATTCTCAAAGTCAGAGTTTTACGTGGAGATTAAACGAATCAAAATGAAATATCGTCTGCACAAAACCAAGTAAATGCTAAATTATTTTCCAGGCTTTAGCCGCCAATGTTATACAGTGAGGTATTAATTTTTGCGTGTTTTTTGTTTAGGATAAAAAGAAGAAACAAAAAAAAAGAAATTGTCGCAGTTTCTGCTCTTACCCTGCAAAGAAAATTAAGAATAACCAACAGCCAGGGATGGCGAAGGAAAGTAGAATATCCTCTGTCTGTCTGTCCCCCGTTAGTCGACAGGGTACACAGAGCAGGATAGAGATGTTGGCAACAAGGAAGATGATCTTTGTAGGAGTACTAATCTGTAAAACAATCGATATAAATCAGCGATTGAGTTTATTGTTGAATATCAAAATTAATTTATTTTACATAAGAGTTGTTCACATTTATTTGGTATCTTACATTCCACTCCAACTTTATTGTATACGGTGAACAGATTTTTGTAAAACTATGTTTACTGCGCAAAGTATCGAATCGTGACTTCCTTTCTTTCTGTAATCTTGTTAGTAGCAGAATTAAGGTTTAACTTATTAGTAACAATTCTTTAAAGATGGTTGTCCGCAGAAATTTTTCCGAGGAGGGGCAGTTTTCTGGGGGTGGGGAGTCCCCCGCGGACGCCCATGGATGGCTTCATATTTTTTATGGTTACTACCTACTATATTGTATGTAAAATATTATTTATTTTTTTACACAGTAGATGCAAGTTCTAACAAGAAAATTATTGTTAAGAACCAAAATAATCTATAGCTGTGGAAGACTTTTGTGACGTATGCTATTTTTTTTTTCTTACAGAAAATATCGCGCTAACGTCCTATCGTTAAGGTATTAATACGATTCTGTTTTTAACGTTTAAGACGCTTGACTGATTTCTTTATAAGGACGCTAAATGGACACTTGAGCTTTATAAGACATTTAAGTTACCGAAATTTGATCTTCTTGCAAGAAAAACATCGCTCATTACACTTACAAGATTAATAAGAAATCCCAGGATTCCTTGCGACATTACTTCTTCCCCTTGTTGAAATACCAGGAATGCTACGCATCCCAAACAGGTTCCTAATTCAGCGCAATAGCGAAACTAGAAGAGAGAAAGCTGTAGATAATTGGAATACAGTATGCACAAATGACAGATACACTAAAAAAGCCAATTTTAATTCATATTAATCAATAAGTTAGAATTATTTTCTTTATAATTATTATAAGTTCCAATAAATATCTGTACAACAAAAATAAGAGCCATCAGGAGATTTAGAGCACCGAATGAACATGTCGAAAGGAAGTTGAATTAGTTATTGCAAACAAACAAAAACATTAATTTTCAAACTAGTGGTTATCCAACTCCAACACAAAGGTATCTGTAATAAGATCATAGGGTTATTTATTACTTTACGATATATTTAGATTAATAGCCAAGGATGTTAAACATTTTAATGTTATTTGTATGGACTTATTTTACCCATATTACTTCAGTTTTATTTACTTTTAAGAACTTTCACGTTTTACTGCGATAAACACATTTTGAACAATCATAATCAAAAAATACAAATTTCAATGTTACATTTTTAACTGTAACGTTTTTTTAAATAATATAATTAAAAAACTTACTATTGCACATACATCAGTGGGACCCAGTAGGCTGCCATCTGGTGTTGGACGGAGTGAAACAGCAATACTGAGGGTTATCAGGTGTAGGAACATAAGCGCCAAACGTTTCAGAAAATGATTCTGACAAAAAATTAAACAAAGTGAATTCAGATTACTATAACCGAATTTTATTTGTATGAAATGAGAAAAAAAAAAGATTTTTGACAGAACAATAATACTCTGAAATCAAAATGAGCCAAGCGTATGAGTAAAAAAATACAAATTATTATTATTAATAATTTATAAATGTGTGACATAGAGACACATACCACTTAAAAGTGAATTACAAACTGCGGGTGAAATTCTTGTTCTCTATAGGTTAAAATCTTTAGATGCACGATTTTGTGGACAGCAATAAAAATTATTATTTGTATTATTTTGTTAAATGTGTTATGTTGATAATTCAGTTCAGGGGTTAAATTCTGCCAGCTCACCGGTACTGAGTACCGGAACTTATTTTTTTAAGGCAGTACTAGTACTGGGGTTTATTTGAGTTGCTTTGTCGTTTTTTACGTTTAGACGTAGAGTTTTTTTTCTTTTTCAAAAACAGGCCCACTTCATCCAGTTGAGTACCTCTATTTTTTTTTTTTTGAGAATTTCATCCGTGATTCAGTTAGATTTAATATTGATTTTTTATCTTTTTTACCCTGGCAAACGTTTTCCATTTCTCTTCTAAGAGCCGCTGGATGGCACGACTGTCCAACATGTCCAAATGTTCATTTTTCGTTCCGTTTAAAATAATTATCAGGGCAGAATTCCTATCTGGAGAAGGAGAAAAAGAAATGAATGTTCTTAAAGCTATTGTAAAAAAAAATATATATTTTTAACGTTCCTCATATTTTTTACAATAGTTCATTCAAAATATTGTAATCTTATTTTAACGTTCCTCAATATTGTAATCTTATTTTAACGTTCCTCATATTTTTTACAATAGCTCATTCACAATATTGTAATCTTCTTTTAACGTTCCTCATATTTTTTACAATAGTTCATTCACAGTATTGTAATCTTCTTTTAACGTTCCTCATATTTTTTACAATAGTTCATTCACAATATTGTAATCTTCTTTTAACGTTCCTCATATTTTTTACAATAGTTCATTCACGAAGGTTACAATATTGTGAATGAACTATTGTAAAAAATATGAGGAACGTTAAAAGAAGGTTACAATATTTTGAATGAACTATTGTAAAAAATATGAGGAACGTTAAAATAAGATTACAATATTGTGAATGAACTATTGTAAAAAAATATGAGGAACGTTAAAAGAAGATTACAGTATTGTGAATGAACTATTGTAAAAAATATGAGGAACATTAAAAGAAGATTACAATATTGTGAATGAACTATTGTAAAAAATATGAGGAACGTTAAAAGAAGATTACAATATTGTGAATGAGCTATTGTAAAAAATATGAGGAACGTTAAAAGAAGGTTACAATATTTTGAATGAAGTACTATAAAAAAATATGAGGAACGTTAAAAGAAGATTACAATATTGTGAATGAGCTATGATTTATAAAATACAGTAATTTAGAAATTCTAGGGTTAGATGTTTTTTGCAATATTATTGCGCGAGCAGAAAATCGAACAAACGGTGTTAAGAATACATACACTTACAAACTTAAGTTTAAATAAAAGTAAGTTTCACATAAAACTAATCGAACTATTATTATTTAAATAATTTGTTTAAAACTAGTTTTACTCACACACGCCAGTAAGTTAATTGAAGAATTTATTTTTGTTTAGGGTTAGCCTTAGTTGCCGATTGTCAAACTGAGCCCCCTGGTGGCTCAAAGGGAAGTCTGAGAGCTTACAACACTAAAACTCGGTTTCGATATCCGCGGTGAGCACAGCACAAATAGCCCATTGTGTAGCTTTGCGCTTAACAACAAACAAACTAACCAATACTAATGTAAATATTGTTACCATAGTATGTTATTGTCAAAAATAAATAAATGAATCATACTGGGAGAAAAGAAGTAAACTAAACGTCTAATTTCTGCAGGTAAATACTAGTAGTTTTTATTCATTAAGGCTTTGATATTATGATTTAAGAGATAATGGAGGTAACTAAAAATCAGAGCCAAATGTCAGGTTTAAACTATTCCTTTTTTATGAAACAAGTAATAAATCATACGACCACCTCCAGAAAAATTAAGTTCTTAATTGTACCGTGATTGTACAACTGTCACCTAGCAGCTATCATGGGTAATCTAGTAATGACCCATTTCGCAAGACATGCCTATTTCGTCTATGCGAAATTTGCCCGGCATGACCAGGTGGTTAGGACGCATGTTAATTTTCATGACAAGTTCAATGTAAAGAGTTTCTTCAATACATTCCACAAAATATATTTCGTGAGCAGGGGTCTTAGATCGTTTGTTGATTGTAGAATTTCGCTCAGAGCTATTCGAGGACTATCTGCCGTATCTGTCCCTAATTTTGAAGTGATAGACTAGAGTGAAGGCAGCTAGTAAACACCATCTACCGCCATCTCTTGGGCTACTCTTTACCAACGAAAAGTGGAATTGGTCGTCACAATAACGCCTCACGGCTGAAAGAGCGAGCATGTTCGGTTAGGAGATTCGAACCCACAACCCGTAGATTGCGAGTCAAGATTCCTAACCCCAATGCTGGGTCCAATCTTTAGAGATTTTTTTATTTACTAACTACCATACAATTTAGCCGCCCAGAGTTTCTTTATTTGTTTACGTGAACGAAATATTTTGTACACAGTGGGATAAACGTCATGCTATTAATTTCGAACTGTGAATCAGAGGAAAAGAATCCAGTTAGCAGCACACGCGTCGCCTGAATAACGGTATTAAGTATCACTATTATCACCCACCTACAGGTGAAAGTGGAAAAACTTGTTTGGTAACACCACGTTTCGAAACCGAGATTACCGAATTTTCAGTTCGACGCTAATCACTGGGCCACCATCTAGGGTAAAGCTCTCGGTTTAAAAAAAATGATTAAAGATCTGTCAAAGTTAAAGTACTATAATAAGGCTACTGCAACTCTCATTCAATGATATTAATCTCATCTAGTAAAACAAGTATCAATTAAAACAACAAATGATAATAACATATGTTAGAAAGAAGCTCTGTAGTTTGGCAATAGAAGTTAGAGTTAAAAAGTGGGACTTTTTTGAATTAAAGGGAGTGGATAAGGATAAAAAACAACAAAAACAAAAGGCTTCAATGTTCCTCAAGGCACTGAGCTTCGCTGATTTAAAAAAAAAAACGTTTTTCATTTAGTTAATAATTATTATTTAGTTTCTTTCGTGCTTCAGCTTTTTATCCTGAAAATGTAAAGAGCTCAACAAACACCTAGGTGGCCTATGGCGGGTAAATATATACAGTATAATTTACTATGAGCAGCGTTTTCGTCTTTATTCTAACATATGCTTGGTTGTACAGTCATAATCCAGAAAAGTAACTAAGAGAATTGAGATGTTGCATTTTTGAATATAAATAATCAGTTATTAATACTTCTTAGTTCCGAGTGTTCGGAAAGTCAGTAGGAAGATATTGAATGGGCATTCACAATGCTTAAAATGTCAAAGTATATGCTCTCATGCGTGATATCAAAATACACAGTTGATAGCTACACTTTGAAATGGGACATTGTTTGTTATACACAGACGTAAATTCTTCATATGTCCCTCTCCCCCAGTGGCCCAGCGGTATGTCTATGGACTTACAACGCTAGAATCCGGGTTTCGATACCCGTGGTGGGCAGAGCACAGATAGTCCATTGTGTAGGTTTGTGCTTAACTACAAACAAACAATCTTCATATGTACTACGCCCGCGTCGACGACAACCTTAAATGTTCTTACAGATTCGTAATGCATACTGCTAATTATTAATTAGGCAAAATAAAGAACAAATAAAATTGATCGCTATACTTTCGAGAAGCAATATTTCTGGAACTTCTTGAGTAGGCGTTTCTTCGTTTATCATAAATATCATTGAACTGGAATGACTTTATAGAACTATGAACAAT